ATGGAGTGACGCCAGCAAGAAACACGCGCGTTTTGTGCCTGCAATGTGCGCTGTTGTGCACGATATAAATTGCCTTCTTTATGTGTCTAATGTATTCTTGAATAGTCCAAAGTTTACATCTTTATTATTGTTTAAAATATTCTTTTACTATTGATGATGCAGAATATTATTATTAAATATTTCATTTTCATTTTTAATTTACCTTTACGATATAGAATATTATTATTGAAATATTTCCGTTCCATTTTTAATCTCCGTTCCATTGTTTAAAACTGTGAAAAAATTATGACATAATTTTGATTTGATGTTTTATAATGTGTAATATTAATGTGAAAAATTAAAATGCAATGATCTGACGATTTCCTTTTCAATTTTAGTCAATTATGGATCATTTTTTATTTTTCAAACAATTATTAATATTCATTGTCTTTTCCAATTAACCTGATTTCAATTTCTTTTTTTCATTTTTAATTTTTAGTCAATTATTAATATTTATTTCTTTTTCAAATTTACCTAAATTTACAAAAATAAATAAATAAATAAATAAATATATATATATATATATATATATATATATATATATATATATATATATATATATATATATATATATATATAAAATTTAAAAATGGATATAATTTCATTAGTTATATTATCTTCATTTTCTACAATTCAAAGATTCCTCCTTCAAATTTATTAATTTATTAATTTATTATATTCACTACATTGTACATTGTCTTCTTTTTACATTATAATACAAAATATGTTATATTTATTTATTTACCAAGTATTTTATACAAATATAATAAATATTAATATATTGTTCAATACTTTCACATGATAACCTAAGATATACATCTTACAACACACGAAACATGTAGGGGAAAAACTACTATTACCAAATATCAATAGTTTCTTGTAAGCTAATATAATATAACTTATGTAGGAGTATCCAACATTGCTCATATAAAAAAAAATGGGGCCTAATTGATCCTGTATTACTAATAACATTGGAGCCAGGATTATTTTAACATCCCAACCCAAAACATGCAAGTCCAACGAAAGCAGAGCAAATGTGAATTATTTATGATCTATCTCAACATAAAAAAAAAATAATAATAATTACGGATCAGCGTGAGACGCAACTACGTGTCTTATGGGCCTTTTAAAAAATAAATTCGTACAAAATATTTTTGCATGAGAAAAATTCAACAAAAAATGGGGCCTAATTGATCCTGTATTACTAATAACATTGGAGCCTGGATTATTTTAACATCCCAACCCAAAAAATTCATGTTTTAAAAATTACATAATTGTATACTAAAATGTACATAATTATATATGAGAATGTACATAATTGTATAACAGAATACACATAAATTTTAAACTGTTAAAAAAATTCGCGTGTTCGAATGTACATAATTGTATAAAAAATGTACATAATTGTATAAAAATGTACATAATTGTATACCAGAATGTACATAATTGTATAACATAACTTACGTAATTATATAACATAATACACATAGACTCTGTCGCGTTGACTCCCCACGCACCTTAACAAAACGACTTCGTTTTAGCCAATGCGCACAATGCATTGTGCGTCCTGGTGCACGATATAATTTTCCATTGCGTATATCTTCCAATGTGAGAAAAATTCAACAAAAAATCGGGCTCCCCATTTATTAAAAGCAAATTGATCAATTTTTTCTTGTGCAAAAGATCACCAAAGATCCCCTATTGGGGTTGCTTTTCTATTTTCTAGACTTGGTGTCTAGCCCTCCTTGATATTGCATATTTGGTGTTATAATTTCCCATCCTGAAAGAAAGACATACCATCCCTTACCCAAAATTCTTGCATCATGATGCTATCAGGTTAGAATCCTTTTAGTAGAGAATGAGTTTGCTCAATTCATTATATTCGCAGAAAGTTAATGATTGTGCATATTGAATGTCGGGTAACCATTATTTTCTTACTCATGGTCTTTATGTGTTTGATGTTCTCTTGAATAGTCTAAAGTTGACACCTTTTGCAAATCTTGTTAGTTCAAAATGACCTTAACATTTATTAGTTTTTTATTTTTATTTTTTACAACTTTGCTTTGATCATGTATTACTAATAACATCCCAACCCAAAAGATGCAAGTCCAACGAAAGCAGAGCAAATGTGAATTATGGATCAGTTGTCTTTTGGTCTTCCACTCATCCACAAATTGCCAATTGAATCATGACAGTAACTTGTGATTTGTGAATGTAGTAATGTCTCCTTTCACAGTAAAGATTGGTTGGTTGGTTAATTCAAACAATTTGACTTAAACTCTACAACACTATGCAATTTCAACAATCAGTGGAGGGTGGAGACGACTGACCATTGAGCACAGATTTGGCATTTTATCCCCAGATTTCACATAATTAAGGTTGTTTTTTTTAGTCCTAGAACGCGGTGAATGTAAAGCTGAGAAATAATATATCACTACGGAGTTGAAAACGTACAATTGCAATATTTATGGTTTTTGTGTGTCAAATCTCAGGTATATAAACCTGTCAGATAATCAGGGCTTTGTACTGCATCTCCAGATCAGAGGTTCCTTTCCGCGGTTTCTTGATGCCATTAGAAGACCAAAGTGTTGAGACGGCTTAGCTTAGCATGCAAAACCCAAAAAGCAGAAAGTGAGCAAAACAACAGCCCTAGAAGTGTTAAGGAAGAAAAGGGGACAAATTAAAACCCAATATCACAGACTGCATTGTCTGTGTTTACAAGCTTTGATTTCCAGCTACAATGTGGACGGGTAAGATCAGACTTGCAGAGCAGCTGTTGGCTTTGAAGAAGAAGCTGTATAGTATAGAGGTGAAGCTATTTATTGTCCCACATCGGTTTAATAGAGGGAGGGAATGCGTTTGGGAGGTTATAAAATAAGCCGGCTGTTCTCCATGAAGCTCATACCTTTCTCGGCCTTTTGGCTAAGATCAAGTGTAGTATTTGTTCTTATCAGTTTAATATCTGATATGTGGACTATTAGTCCACATGATATTAACTCACTTTTTTTAGGGGGAAGGCCTGTCAAGGTAGCTTGCTGTCTGGGCCTTCGAGCGTTGCCTTGGTGTTGCACTATTGCCTCGGCCTGGTGCACCCCATCAAGTCCAGTTTAAGATTTAGATTTTTGAGCCCATCTTGTTTGTTCAATGTATAGACTATTAGTTTTTTTATAAGTATTTTCGCAAGATCCCTTCATTAGCAGTAACCTATTTGGAATGTGGTCCATAAGGTAAGAGTATTATTCTAACAACTGATTATAGTATATGTGAAGTAGTTGTGTTATTTATTTGTTGCAATGTTAATTCGGAATTTGGTCATAATATTTTTTTATCAGTTTTCAGTTATAGATTTTTAGTACAAGAATTTAAACTTAATTTGTCATGTGGTGTGGGGAATGGATGTCTGGTAGGGTATGTTAAATAGGATTTTGTACAGAAAAAAAAATGGTAGTTTTATCAAATAAATTAAAATTTTTAAAAAATAATAATCAGCGTCAGATTGTGTCAAAAAAAAAAAAAGACGGACAATTTGCGTCCGATTCTAGTTAGGATCGGACGCAGATTGTCAAAACGGAATTAAAAAAAAAATATCTTAATCTGCCATAAGATGTTACATCAGACGTTCAACCAATATGCGTCTATTGCATATGCGCCCGAAGTAAATCAGACGTAGATTATCATTTACTTCAGACGCAAATTGCTCATTCTGTACTAGTGTAGGATTGTATCAGAAGCACATGTGTGCCAACGAGTTCAATATCCAGTGTAATCATGCATGCACGGGCATCCATCTCGTTGTAATGCCTTGCACCACCTTCTCCAGAATTAGTGACCATCTTTGGGTTGGGTAACGTGAGGCTAGGGGTTTTAAAGTAGGTTTGGTGGTAATAAGCTGCTAACCAACCGTACACATAATGGATTGGAAAATGATCTCCTATTTGACCGGGAGAGTGGGATTCCGAGATTGAGTTTAAGCTAGAATAGGTACTAGCAAGTACTGGAGCCGCAAGACATATCTTATTTCCTCTAGCCATCGTGCATGCTATCTTGAAAGTCTCGGGGCAAATGGTTCTCGTTGGTGTGCCTGGTAGAACAAACACGCAAAGCTAACAAGATAAGAATGCGGCTAAGTAGGCTTCCTTTTTGAGATACCGGGAGATGCCTAGTTCAACTAACACTACAAGAAAAATGCACATAGACAACGGTTAATAACCGTTGTCGTAGGGGTATAATTTCTGTTGTTGAAGCCGGTGTTGTTGTAAGTCCTGCGCATAGACAACGGTTTTTTAACTGTTGTCTTTTCTAGAAACAACAACGGTTTTTAAACCGTTGTCTATTAAGTGTTGTTGAAGCCGGTGTTGTTGTAAGTCACGCACATAGACAACGGTTAATAACCGTTGTCTTTTCTAGAAACAACAACGGTTTTTTAACCGTTGTCTATTAAGTGTTGTTAAAACCGGTGTTATTAAAAGTCACGCACATAGACAACAGTTAATAACCGTTGTCTTTTCTAGAAACGACAACAATTTTTTAACCGTTGTCTACTAAGTGTTGTTGAAACCGGTGTTGTTAAAAGTCACGCACATAGACAACGGTTTTTAACCGTTGTCTTTTCTAGAAACGACAACGGTGTTTTAACCGTTGTCTATTAAGTGTTGTTGAAACCGGTGTTGTTAAAAGTCACGAACATAGACAACGGTTTTTAACCGTTGTCTTTTTTAGAAAAGACAACAGTTTTTGACCCGTTGTCTATTCAATGTTGTTGAAACTGGTGTTGTTAAAAGTGATGCACATAGACAACGGTTTTTAACTGTTATCTTTTCTTTCAAAGACAACAGTTATAAACTGTTGTCTATTGTGTGTTGTTGAAATCGCTGTTGTTAAAAGTCACGCCCATAAACTGTTTTTTTTTGTAGAAAAGACAACAGTTTCAAACTGTTGTCTATTGTAAAATAGACTTAAAAAATCAATTTATCCATTCACCATGGCCAAGTGTAGTTACATAATTTTGAAGAAGCTAAGCAATGTTTAAAATAACAAGTCATAATACTTTCATTACCAATTCTAATCGAATCATCATCCAAGTCATAATACTACAAAAAAAAATTCTACGAACCAAGTCTAAATGATTACAACGTCAAATCATACCTACTCTATATAACTTGATAGAATATTGGCCCATTCTGAACGCATCAGATCAATAACCGCTTTGTCATAATCAACTTGTTGGAACTACATGTAAAAAATGAGTAAATAAATTAGTATAGATATAATAAATTTGCAATGAAATGCGAACAGAGGAGGTATTTATACACTACACAAGAATAAAAGTGAACCATTGATGCTAGTGCAATATCCAACAGCTAGAAAATAAACCTAGAATAGCTAACCTCAGCCAACATATGTAAGTAGTGTAAACAAAATGATGCTAAGGAAGAAGAGTCATAATTATATATAGAGATGCATGTAGATTCTGCAGCTTCACAATTCTATAAAGATGGGGTTGATAGGTGCTTTCATGGATTATGCTATTGGTTTTTATAAAACTTGAGCAATTCTGGTTGATAAAATGTGGACTGCCCAATCACCATGCATGCTTATTCTCCTCATACTTTTATCATCTTTATAAAACTAACATCCTACCATAATATATATCTAATTGTCCTCAGCTATAGTATTTTTTTTCTCAATTTTGTCTTAAAAGACTTTGGTGTCATAAAGTAGTCTTAGACTTTTGTGTTATAAATCAAATCAAGAAAAAAAACAAACAAATACCAGTGCCCAGAAAGCTCAAAGTGGCTGTGCAGACAGTGAAGTAAAGCAAAAATCTGATATACACATGCTATACTAGCAAAAATCTGATATACACATGCTATACATTTTCTTCTTCCTTTAGGTTTTAGGGTATGCAATCTTAAAAAGGTCCCTTAGAGTTTACACTTCATTTGACAAATGTTGTGTCGTATATATATATACATTGAAATGAAGCCAACTTCTAGCAACGAAGTTATAAAAAGTGTATAAGCAAAGTGATTACCTCACTTCTAGCAATTGCCTTCTCCAATTCTTCAAGCATCCCCTTTGGATCCTGAGCACAACATTGCAAAGTCAGCAACATTTGGACTCACCACAATTTCCTGTCATGCAAGAATATAATCACAATGCTCACTTTTTATCATATGTTTGTGCTATCCTATGACAACTACCCTGTGAAAGGTTGTCCAAATGACTTCAAAGATATATTTTTCTCTCTCATAATCAATGAGAAGAAATCCATGTAAACCTATGCAACTTAGAGAATAAATTAGTATGTATTTACATTGCATCAAATTAAAAATGGGGATCATTAAAATTGATTATTTCATGCAAGACTTGCTTATGTTTTAGCAATCAGCAGCATTATTATGCACTAATATCTAAGCACATAAAAACAAAATGTTATATCTAACTAGGTGCAGTTAAGGATATAACAACAAAATGTTTATATCTAAGGATGAAATGACAAAATAATTTGTTTCCATACAAATTGCTATATGTAAGGCCAATAAATTAAAGGAATTAATGCATAATTATTTTGCATAAGCATTCAGCGAATGAGATAATCCTCTTAAAAAGTGGTTACTAGTAGAGGCTTAACTGCAAACATTGCAGCCAATCACTAAACAAATGCACCACCATTTAAAAATGAATCAAAAAAACCATAAACCAACTTCAACTATGTACATGAAAACACATCAACTTACAACTACTTCTGAATTCTGATCATCTTTTCCATATGACAGCTCAAAAATACATTGCTACTGAGTACAACTGTTTCCTAAAACTCTTCATCCGTACCTCCTATACGTATTCTTAATTTTACAAATTACCAATTATCGGAACTGAATAAGCAAAACAACAATAAATGAAGTTAAATATGCAAACCTCTTCATATGATAAACAAGAATGTGTCCATGAAGAACATAGAGACGATCACAACTATTGCGCGCTCTCAAAGAAATCAAAGCTCTGAACCTGAAAAAGGGCAAGTTCAAGACATATAGACAACACAAAGTTAGCATAAAAATGCTAAGGCTCACTTTGCCCCGTAAAATATTAACATTTGTAGTTTGAAAATAAACATACTTTTAAAAGATAAATAAGAAAGGAATACTATGAATTTTAAAATATACATGTAGGAAAAGAATACATCATTTCCTTTTTCTTGAGATTAAAACACTAGTTAATTGGGAATAAATTCAAATGCCACATACATAAGACATTATTAAAATGATACAACAACTTCACTTAAGAACATATTTCTCATAATACAATCATCTCTTTCAGATAGTAAACAATTCCACTTTAGTCAAAGGCATTTTCCAGTAGCCAAACATTTGTAGATACATATACGTAAATTTCCATAAGTAAAAACCAATGCAAATGCATAGATCCTACTGCCAATTAACATTTTGAAAACAAGCAAGTGTATAAATAGATAGCAGATACATACACAGCAGGAACAGTTAGAGCAAACTCATTTTGGATGGGCATAAACCATTACAAACTTTAAAACATGAACATACACTATTTTAGAAGCAAAATAACACCATATTAACATAATTTCTAAGGATTTAAAGTAGCAAAAATAGCCCATAATTTCAAATAATTTCAATAATAAAACTCAGGGAAAAATAATTTGGACACCCATGAATCCTTACATTCTGGTTCACAGCACTTCTAGAGTATGATTCCCCCTAATCCTAGCCTTCTTCTCAGCTCCTTCTCCAAATAGCACCCCAAACATACAGAGCTAGCAACGAACAACATATATAAAGAAGTATGAACATGTAGGCAGTATGAAACTATGAAGTACGAACAAGAAGTCATTACCGCAATACCTCGACGGCTATCTGGATTCGCGACAACGGCCTGGAGGCCTGGACTCGCGACGGAGGCCTGGACTCGCGACGGCGGCCTGGAGCCACGGCGGACTCTGGACTCTAGGGTCTAGACCCGAGACGGCAGCCTGGAGCAATTACCGACGGCGGCCTGGAGATGGCGATACGCGGCGGCGACGGCTCTCTACAGTCGGCGAAGTCCCTCCGTAGTCGACGAAGTCCCTCCGTAGTCGACGAAGTCTCTATGTATGAAGTCTGAGTCGCGACAGTTTAGGGATTTTGACTGTTCAAAATTGTTATTTCTAATCATTATTTTTATATATTATAATATAATATTATTATATTATATTATTATATTATATAGTATATATTACACGGCTCGCGAGCGTTTCGACGAGTTACGAGCCTAGAATATCTAGGTTCGGCTCGAGCTCGATAAGTAAACGAGCAGCTCAAGCTCGAGCCGAGTGTTGACTTGAGCGGCTCACGAACGACTCGGTTCCTCTTATATAGAGAATGGCGGAGAGCATTCTAACTGCGGAGAAGTCTGACGAGAATGGCGGTCGGCGGAGATGTCTTAGTTCGCAATTTTGTTTGAGGGAAATTTTGTCTTAGTTCGCAATTTTGTCTTAGAGGGAAGACAAAAATTTCGTTCCCAATTTTGTCTTAGAGGGAAATTTTGTCTTAGAGGGAAATTTCGTAAAAAAATATTAGTTTTATTACCCGGGTCGCTAGACCCGGCCAATTAAAATAGTACCGGGTATATAGGTACAGAATACGAGATTCATAGATTTATATAATGTAGATTCATAATTTCTATATAGTATATTTCTAATTTAAATACAGTTGTATAGATTCATAATTTCTATACAGTAGATTCATAATTTCTGTATTGTTGATTCATAATTTATAAACTGTATAGTTATCAACAATTGGCAATATGAACATCGCAAATTATGAACATAAAGTTCTGTAATTGTAAATATAGATCAGAGTTCAATCATTATGAATATGAATTTCAATTCAAAAATTATGAATATATAGTTCGGTAATTATGAACATAGAACAGTGTGCCCCATGCATGGTGCACATGGTTGCACAACATAATTTGCCCTTTATTTCCCGGAGGTTTATTACCCAGACAGCTCACGACCCAATTATATTACAAAGCTAAGATCACCGCAAAATAAATGGGATATAGCTAACTGTACGGCATCGATCAACTACTCTTTCATATCCATTCTCCACGTGTCTCATGCATGCCGGAAGGGTCGATTACCAACATATAGCTAACCTTGTTAGTCATGCGCTAGCCGGAATGATCGATTACCAACCCCGGCCCCTATCATACCGCCCTTAACCCCTACACACCATACCGCACCATTCTGAACACCACACCGCACCGCGCAGGGCCGTTCTAGGCCATGTCGGACCGGCGCGACCGCACATGGCCCCAATATTTTTAAAAAATATTATAGACATAATCTATTGTTTTTTATACTTGATAATTATTATTATTTTTTTGAATTTATAGATTGGTCTTAATTGTAATATAATTGAAAATAAAACTTTAATGAATTTACTTTGAAATTTTGGTGAATAATTCTATATTTAAATATGAATGAAAATAGAACTATTAAATTAACTTTTGAATTGTATTCTTTCTTTGTTAAATTATAGGTAAAAGATAAGGGCCCTGTTTGGTAAAATGGCTGTTAGCTTTTAGCTGATTGTGTTAATTAGAGGGTATAAATAGTTGATAACATTAGCTGATTGTAGAAAAGTGTTTGGTAAATTAACTGTTAGCTGATAGCTGTTTGATATAATTTCTTTTCTCAAAAAGCTAATTGAAAAAGTTGCTTTGAGTAGCATTTTGAATTTTAGCCTTTTAGAGTTGCAAAAAGCTAATTAACCAAACATTTATATTGATATTTTAACTAAATCAAACAATTAATAATGGTCAAATAAGCCAAAATTGGCCTATAGGCCAATTTTTTACCAAACAGGGTCAAGGTGTTACACTTTAGTACACAAGAGTTGGTGTGGCTTGGTGGATTATTTAGCTTTATTTGTTATGTTAAAGGTCTTGGGTTCTATCTTTTGTGGTGGCATTCATAACCTATTTTATACAATCATTGTCTTGGTTCTCAAAGACAACACATAAGCAAACTAGTAATATACTAGATGTTCCGCTTGAGTACATAAGTGTTGGTGTGGCTTAGTGCATTTAGCTTAATTTATTATGTTAGAGGTCTTAGGTTCTATTCTTCTACTATTTTCTAAAATTGTTGTCTTGGTTTTCACAAACAACACAGAAGCAACCCAGTTATATACCAGATATTGCACCTTTAGAGATAAGAGTTTGTGTTGCTTAGATGGTTAGATCATTTACTTGTTAAAGTTAAGGTCATTAGTTCAACTCTTGTTGTTAACATCCTTGTTTTTAGTTTATATACCTGTTAAATAATGATGCGCAAAGACAACAGTTTTTTAAAACCGTTGTCTTTGTAGTGTTGTGTATTCAAATACGCTTAAAGACAACATACCAAAGACAACGGTTGTGTATAAAACCGTTGTCTTAAACAAATAAAGAACGCGTAACGACAACGGTTATATAAAACCGTTGTCGTTTTAGTGTTGTGTATTTGAGTGCGCTTAACGACAACACACCAACGACAACGGATAAATAAAACCGTTGTCTTTTTTCAAAAAAAGGGCGCACAAAGACAACGGTTTTAAACAACTTTTGTCTTCCTAGTGTTGTGTATTCCAGTGCGCTTAAAGACAACACACCAACGACAACAGTTAAAAAAACCGTTGTCTTATTTTAAAAAAAACGCACATAGACAACGGTTTTAAAAAACCGTTGTCGTTGTGGCGTTGTTTTTTCACAAAATGCACAAAGACAAGACACTTATAACAACGGTTAAGTAAAAACCGTTGTCTTTGACAAAAGTGTTGTATCAAAGACAACGGTTTTGGACCAAACTGTTGTCTTTTATACAAAAGACAACACTTTTCTTAAAAACTGTTGTCTTTCTAGTGTTGTCTATGTGCATTTTTCTTGTAGTGTAAGGGCATTCTGCTCACATCTTACCATCTGGTGGAGGTGCCAAGTATTCCGCTTGGGTTGTGCATAGACTTTGGCCGAGATTTCCTGTCCTTTTGAGTTGGGGGGTGGAGGAGTTGCATGTGTTCGCGGTTTCCTGCACCAGAAGTCAATCCATCGTGATGCTTGAACGTAGGGGGTGTCATCCTCTTGCTGGTTTAAGCAGTAAAATGCCTCGAACAAGCTTGCGCAACACTTATGTGAGCCCCTTGTCAAGTCCGAGGCACTCGGGATGTGTTCGTCATAAACGCTGTTGGACAATGGTAGTCCCCCAAGAATGTGCAAATCCCGATGCGATATGCTCACGTCACTAGACGAGGTAATCAGGGTGTTAGTTCACGGGCACCATGCTTCGCAAAAGGCTTTGACGATGCTAGTGTTATGGTCATATGTGAACAATGACGCGTACACAACATCATATATCGTCCCATCCTTTAAGGTCTTGCTGGAGAAGTTAAGTATGTCTTCAGCCCACTCCCAGTATCCTGTTAGAAAAGTGAACTCTCCATCGCAATCTATGTCTTGGCCCCACGAGACTTCAGCGTTGAGTATGCGATTCCCTAGTGTGGGAAGGGCGTATTTGGAAGGTTTGTGCTGCATTCTTGGCAGCAAGGTCCACACCTTGGACAGCAGACAATCGTACTCGAGAGTCCAATTGCGCTCATGATACGACACCACAAGCTTTGGCGGGTCAGGTGATACTATGGGTGGATTAACCGCCAAAGTGACTTTATGATCGCTCCTTTTGCTCGATACCATCATAGTCTCTTGCCCGTTAAGTCGTCGATCTTGAAAGTGCACCATTTTGAACGTGTCAAAGTTGAGAAGTCGCTGCAAAAAGAAAAAAAAAAAAAAAAAAAAAAAAAAAAAAAAAAAATATATATATATATATATATATATATATATATATATATATATATATATATATATATATATATATTATAAAATAACAATAATGATGATATATTATGTACGTTATTATTATTATTAAAGTAGTGGGAAAAACATATACTGATTACGGTATGTACTAATTAATGTCACTATTATTATTATTATTATTATTATTATTATTATTATTATTATTATTATTATTATTATTATTATTATTATTATTATTATTATTTGTTATTACTGTTATTTATATTATAACTATTGCTTATTAGTATTATTATAAAAGACAAAAGGAAAAAGGCAAAAGGGAAAAGACGAAAGCAAAAAAAAAAAAAAAAAAAAAAAAAAAAAAAACAACAACAACAACAAAACAGAGTGTTGGAAATTATATAGTAATGGAGATTAGTGTTTCAGATGGACTACCATGAAAGCTTAAATAATATTTGGAGTTGTGGAGTTATAAATATTATTTTAGTTTGGTAGAAAGAATACAGTATATGGAGAGATTTGGATTAAAATCGTTTTCGGAAGATCTGGCAAATTATGAAAGATAATGTTCCGGAAGATAAATTTTCCGGAGGTTTAATCAAATTAACCGGAAGAATAAATTACAAAAGATTTGTTAGAAGGATTAGCCGGAAGGTTTTTTCGGAACGTTTTGACGGAAGGCTCGAAAATTGAACATTCTTCAATTTGGTTTCCGTGTTGGGAAGTTCTTTTATGCGGCTAAGAAGGTGAAGTTGAAGTTTGCCGTATTGTTTTCGGCTAAAGAGTACGTAAGCTTTCATATTTCCAAATTCCCTGCAAATCTTTATGTTTAGCAATTATAATATATGAATATATTATTATTGCATGAAGTTTTACTGTCTTACAAATGTATATATTACGTACATATTCAAGTGAACATGATTTACGTAATTATTATTTCCCATGATTGACATATCAGTTAAGATATATCTGTATGCAATTGATACAGGCAATTAACAGGCAATCAACTTGCAGGAAACCAAGATACTTCACATGCTTAAATTTCTACAGGAAATTCTCAAACAATGCAACTTGAGAGTTTCATTCATCTTCTTGTATCCCATAAGATTAAATCTTGAACCTTGTTACTTTTATAGAGGGAGATTTAAAGCTTATAGAAAAGTGATTACATGCCTGAAGTTATCAAATGACCAATTTTTGTTCCCTGTTGTCTTCTGTAATTTTGTTGTATCTCAAATGTATTACAGAATACAAGCATTTTTTTCC